TACCACGTGTAAGTTCATATTTCTATTTTAGATCAATCGAAGCATCCCCTTTCTCTCTCTCCCCCCACCCCCCCCCCCCCCACCCTCATAATGAACGGACTCACAAGGAGCCAAGGCGAGATTAAAGAACAAAGCCACCTTTTAACCACCGTACAAATACCACCTTGTCGGTGCTAGAGATCGACCATATCGACGATTTCGCGACAAATTCAATAGACAGTGTCACTTGTCAACAAAGCATCGTCAGTCTTTCAGCTACCACACCGACACACCTCGCATTCTCCCTCTACACGCCCACCTTCTCACACCAACATCCACACACACACACACCTTCTCCCTCCACACACAACCTCCTCACTTTCCCCACCAACATCCACACACACACCTTCCCCCACCAACATCCACACACACACACCTACCCACACAACATTCACACACACCCACCTTCAACACTAACTCCACTCACACTTCCCACACAAACATCCCACACACCACCTTCAAACACCAACATCAACTCACACACACCTTCTCACACCAACATCCCACACACCCACCTTCCCACACCAATATCCAAACATCCACCTTCCTACACCAACATCCACACACACACCTTCCACACCAACATCCACACCTCCCCACACCAACATCCACACACAAACCTTCTTACACCCCACCTTCTCACACCCACCTTCCACACACACACCTCACACACACCTTCTCACACCAACATCCACGCCTTCCCACACCCAGCCTTCAACAAACGACTCAGTGTTCCCTATACTATGAAACTCCAGTGCACATCATAAATTATTGATAGCGAAACGCTGGATACTATTTCTACTATACATTTCAGTTTGCTGTTTCAAAACAACGTGTCTTCCTTTACAACAAGTCTGTCTTTTGTCTGTCTTGCTTCTCAGTAGTCAAATTATGCTCTTCAGTTTAGACCCAATTTCAATGAAGCGATAAAAAAAAGTATTCATGAAATTCATTCCAACAACAATTGAATATAGTTTAGAAGCGTTTTAAGGGGAACAGGTTTAAGAACTAAGTCCAACTCCAATAGATGGGGGAGGTGGGATTAAGGCGAATTTAAAATGGAGATTTGTTTTAAGAGGGTTGGATAAACTCCTGGGTAGACTAAGAACTTAAGGTAGAGTTCGAATCCTCAAGCTTTGAGATGGTGCCAAGAGACCTACAACCATTAGAAAACCAACCAACCATCACCTAACTCTAAAACCAATCAACCATAGCCTAGTTCTAAAATAAACTTCGTGTTGCACAACATTTAATTAAAATAAAAACTAACCCAATTATAAAATAAAACACAAATCTAAAACCAATACTAAAATAAACCAAACACTAACCTAAACTATTACTAAAATAAAGAAACCACCAACTTTATACTAAAATAAACCAAACACTAACCTAAACTACTACTAAAATGAAGAAACCACCAACCTAATACTAAAATAAACCCTGAACGAACACTAAAATAAAACCAACCACTAACCCAAGGCAATACTAAAATAAACCAAATAATAACCCAATTCTAAAATAAACCAAACACTAACCTACTACGAAAATTTAACACAACAGGTCAAGCCTTTGCGCGAATACAAACCCTGGTCAAGACTAATCCAGATATGTTTAATCCACGGCTATCCAGTAGTTATTAATCCACGGCTATCCAGTAGTTATTAATCCACGAACTCCCAAATATGTGTGTGTGGTCGTGTCGAGCCACTGCGCGCTTCGAGTATCACAGACATGCCTTGTTACGGGCACAAAGAATGGACGGGGGATACGGTTGAGTGACCCTGGCCCTCTTTACCCCCCAAATTTAACAAGACGACCAAGACAAGCTGTCGCTCACGGCACTGGTTACGGTTTGTGAACCGCTGATATTCTCCCCCCCCCCCCCCCCCGTGTTTATTATGACGTCACGCGCGTGATTTTACATAAACAGACCCGTCTCGGTCTCGCGGTGTTACGTAACTCGCGTAACTTACAACGGCTGGTGTCTTGGTGTCTTGGGAGTGGGGGGGGGGGGGTTAGGTTACATAACCCACATCTGGTGCCTCTAAGGAACAGGCCTCATGCTGTTTATCCCCCCCCCCCCCCCCTGCTCACCACGTGTGCGATAGCGAACTGTTTCTAAAGAGCCCTAAAGTGAACCAAGGGACAGGGAGGCGGGGGGGGGGGGAAGAAGGAAGGGGAGGGGGGCGGAGGACAAAGACACAAGTGATATAAAAGCAACGGTGCGAAATGCCAACCTAGCCCTGACCCATCTCGGGTTGCCGAGATAACCCGCAACCCTCCCCGGCCTTGTCCAAATCTCCGCGATTGTTTTTACAACGGGAATTCAAGGTGTGAGGCTAAACATTGGTCTAACGCGACCCGCGGGATTCTGGGGCACCAGCCGCTGGGGGAGGGGGAGGGGGGAGGGGAGGTGACAAAGCATTGAAAATTGCAAGGGGAAGATTTAACTTCAAGTGAAAGTATTCCCATTTAGAGCAGTTTGGAAATTTATTCCGAGTTGGTGTGAGGTTGTTTTTACTCCCTAGTTAGCTTAACAAAATCCTTCCCCACACCCCTTGGCTTTGTTTTTGAGATCTGGGCCTACCACAAACACATATCGTACCCCCCCCCCCCCACACCATCCCCACCACACACACCTGGTACGCCACCACACAAATCGGTGTACCCCACCACACACACACACATTGTTTCCCCTACACACAACTTGCCTCAACTAACACCATGTCTCTCCCCGGACCCCAACCCACATTTCCTCCCCACACACACCATTTATATCTCATACACCCTGTATACCCACACTTTTACCACACAGCTTGAATACTCCACACACCTTGTATTAACCACACACTTCCCTACACACACCTTGTATTAGTATACCCACACACCTTTTCCCACACACCCTACATATCCCACACACTTTTGCAACACACGTCAATCCAATGTTCCTCCCACACACATTTCCCCCCCCCCCCCCCAACCCGCGCGACACCTGTGTCTTTATGTAACCGACTTGAATAATTCATGAGATTTTCAAATCACCTTTAAAACAATAGCGATGTCATGTACTGATAAGGTAGCCATTTGAATACAACAGATTGTGGAAGGTAGCCTGTGACATAGGTAGCCACTGAAATAAAACATATGGAAGGTAGCTCGTTATATACAACAGACTAGACTTCTGAGATACTACATAATATATAAGGTAGCCACTGAAACACAACATATTTTAATGGTGTCAATGATTACATCTCAAATCAGGTACCCAGTCGCATAGGACTGACTAAGGTAGCCAGTCATATAAGACAGACTAAGGTAGCCATTGAAGGTAACTTCTGAATTACAAAACATGTTAGATAGCCACTGGGTACTGAGTACATATCTAATGTATCCACCAAGTACTGAGTACTTGTGGTACGATTCATCACACATAACGTCAGCAGATGTCACACAATGCGTACACCAATAACATCATGCGTTGTGTTCGTGTACACAAACGATGTACCGAAAACTCGTTTTATATTGTCAGCACAATTTGTATGTACACGCTTTAATATTGAACTTCACATCCAAAAAAAAACCACGTAATTTTTAAACAATTTGTTAAGAAGTGTGCACTTAGTGTGATTTATGTACATTGAAATATATTGATACCCGTGTACTTGGATGTAGTGATCTATCCGTACACCCACATTCTAACATCTGAAGGCGGGTTGTGCTCTGTACATGCAGGATTTCACGCAGCTAATGTTGCTGCAGCTATAACACTGAAGGACGATCAGCCAGGCTTCTGTAATCCACCCATTCAACCCCCAGACTCACCCCTACCCCCTCCCCCCTCCCCCCACACACACCCACTTTCCCTGTGTTGTCTATGTGTACAGCCTCTAAGGTGAAGGTCACCGCAGCAATGGCGTAGCTGAACTCGGGCCCCTTGCTATCAAAATAATTAGGTTTTATTTGTGCCGGGGACGGGGCAGACTGCAAAAACACGATACCCGGGCCCGCGGAAATTGGAGTCCCAATTTATCCAGTGGATATCGGAGCACGACTTTGTGCATTGGATACTGGGGCCTCGGTCTGAGCAGTGGATATTGGAGCCGCGACGTATCCAGTGGATTCTGACATTTAGATGTACGATCTCCTGCCAAGGTTAACAAAGAAATGGGCAATTGGAAACAAATGGGAAAATATCGGCGTCCCAAGCGATGGGAGAGGGGTGGGGTGGGTGGGGGGGAGGGGGTGGGGGAGGGTTGATCGAGGTTATTGGGAGTACGTCATGAAAACTGCTATAAAATTGAGGTAATGGCAACAAAAATGAGACCATGATTACGAAAGTGAGACCACGACAAAAATGAGACAATGACATGAAAAGTTAGATTACAATAAGTGTTACCACGACAAGAAGATTAAGTGAGACCACGACTTAAAAAGTGAGACCACGAGAAAATATGAGGCTGTGACAAGAAAAGTTAGAATATTACAACAATAGTGAGACCACAGCTACAAAAGTGAGACTAAGGTTACAAAAGTGAGACCACGGCTACAAAAATGAGACCACGGTTACAAAAATTAGACACGCGACAAAATATGAGACTATGAAAAGAAAAGTGAGACCACGACTCTAAGACTGACACTATACTATCAGACTACTCACCCAGTCGTCAGTGGTATGGGGTAGAACCCCGGGGGCGGGGTGGGCGGCCGGTTGTAGCAGTAAAAATCCTCCTCCGTCTGAGTGCCGATGGAGACCATGGTGGGACAGCGCGTTTTCATCCCCCTTCCACCGGATCCACCGTGACTGCTGGACGATCCACCGCCGGATCCACCGCCGGATCCACCGCTGTTCTTGCTGGTCCGCCGCAGCACCTCTACGATGATGGGCTCCTTGGCCGAGCGGAACGCCTCGACAGCTTCATTGTGGCTGGATTGGGACAGATCTTGACCATTTACCTGCACAAGACAAAGACAGTGAGAGGTCAATGGTGTGTCTTATTTGACAAGCAATGTTAAGACAGGGTTGAAGTATGTGTGTGTCTTCAGTGTAAAGTTAGGCACATATTTAAAAAAAATGTAAAAAAATTTGAATTGTTGTCCGTATGTGTGTGTGTATGTGTGTGTATGTGTGTGTATAAAGGAAAATCACAAAATGAACTGTTGTCTGTGTGTGTGAGAGAGTGTGTGTGTATGTGTGTATATAAAGGAAAATCACAAAATGAACTTTTGTCTGTGTGTGTGAAGAGGGGGGGGGGGGGGGGTTACTTGGTAGAAATATGAGAAACACAATCTCTCCATGCCTACACAAGGTGAGTGAAAAACAAACACACTAGTTTCATGCTGGATAAATAGAGTGAGGTAGATCACCCTGGTGAGCAAGACAAGGGAAACACCCACACAAAGGTCAAAGTCGTACTCTGAATTCGTTCACCTAAGTCAACTCTTCTAGTTTACTCTGAACTGTGCTAACGCTGAATGACACTGTTTATAATCTTGACTTGTGATAAACCTTGAACTCTAGCTAACCCAACTCGAACTGAACTCAGCTAAATTTTGGCAAAGCTAACCCTGACTCCAGTTAAGCATGACTCCAGTTAATGTTGACTCCAGCTAACTCTGCCCCTAATAATGACTCCAGCTAAACCTTATAAGCTGAACCTTATCAGTTAACCCTGACTCCAGCTAAACATTACCAGCTAGCCCTGGTCCCAACTACATGACTTAGGTGCCCTTTTAAAGTTTACTTGTAAGAAAAAAAATCGAGAAGAAAAAACGTCCTCAAAAACCAAACTGTGCTACCCACTTGAGTAGTTTTATCTACCAAAAGCACAGCACAGTTCCATGTAGTGCATGCAGGGTATGTCTGATCTTATTTTGATTATTTAAAAAAAAAAACACGATCAGGATAATAAAAAACAGATAAAATCTTGTTACAATAAAACAAACAGTACCGTTTGATTCGCGAATCTCATCTTCCTAAAAACGGCGCACAAAATTAGAAACTCTTTTTGTTTTGTTTATTTGAATTCCACTACTTGCCGCAACATCACAAACAGTCATTACAACAAGGTAAACAGATACCTTTGTTCAGTTACATTAGAATACATCTTGACCTAGTTGTTTTAATGTAGGAAAAAAAAAGGTTCGGGCACCCTGAACTTGTAAGCTCAGAGATAAAATAAAAGTACACATTTTTTTTAAGTTGTAAGGATTACAACTTTGAAAGCTCAATAAATTATGTTGGGGGAAAAATAAATTAACCAGCGCGTGAGAAAAGTAAACACGTGACTTTCAACAAAGGTTACCTGTCCGTATGACCACAAATCTAACTGCTTATTCTATCAACACAACAATAGGGCTTGTAAGTCTACGATCTCGAAATCTACTAGCTGCATAGTACGAGAACGAGAAGTTGTGACCTACTTACAAGCCCTATTAGTTCAAACCTAAAACGTCTCTCATTGTAGAGTTCCATTGTCAGAGTCTGCTATGGAGAAATCAAGGTCTAGTAAAGGTACTTCTAATTAATCTTCTATTGTGGTGATTATAAGTATATTTAAATCAATTTTCAATTACTAATTAGATAATTAGATACATGATTAGAATGTAAGGTGCTGTAATTCGGTAATGCACTTGGAAAATTTGAAAGAAAATCGCTGCATTAGAAAAACGGATCCAAATTAAGTTAAGACTTAAAGCTGCAAGTCAATTGACGAATATTAAAACGCAAAAGGAAAAGTTTGTAAACAAAACGTTTTTAAAAATTTTAGATCACACTCACACAGGCATAAAGCAGATCACGTTCGAGAAGATCAGCTGGACGTTCATTTTGTCACGCGACGTGATCAGCTGTGTTCACGTGCGGATAAAAAAAAAGTTAAACCAGGAATATTTACAATCCACGAATAACTAGTCCTAGCGGAGTATGAGCCTTACCAGTGCTAGCCCAGTGTAGGCCCTAAACCACATCGCTTATGTTTTGAATAAACACTTCTAGCGGAACATAGGCCTTAAACCACATGGTGTTTAATAACCAATTTTTTAACCACTTCTCGACTATTTTCACAAACAACAACTCCACTGTTAGTCCAGGAAAAAAACAAACCACAGAACCACGTGACAGTACCACCCCGGGTCGCGGGTCGAACGTGACCCATTTCGGGGGAGATGGCAACAATGAAAAGGCCTTGAACATCTGCCTGGTCTCAGTGAGCGCGCGCCACGCGAGAGTGTGGGTAGGGGTGGGGGTGGGGGAGATGGTGAATGGGGTGGGAGGGGGTGGGAGGGGGTGAAATTGAAAGTGATAGAAGAAATATCAAATAGATCTGCTTGACTGCAGACGAGACGAGGGGGTGGGGGTGGGGGGGTGGGGGTGGGGGGGGGTGGGGGGGGGGGGGGGTGGGGGTCATAACACACGTGTCGTCTAAAGTGGAAGATGCAATTATCAAGGTGGCTGTAAAATGCTGGGGGTGGGGAGGAGGGGTCGGGATTTCTTTTATCTTCTAATTAACAAGAGGGGGGGGGGAGGGTTGTTATAAATTGGTTTCCATCATTTAGGTTTAGGATAGGCAGCTGAGTTTAATAAAAGAAAAATTATTAATTTTATTTCGAGTTGTAGGGCCTATATTCGGAGAAAGGCTTTGGCTCACACCATAGTTTGTTGTGTTGCATTTGAAAGCTGTTCTAATTTTCCAATACGAAGACAGGTCTTAAGTACTGGTGTTTTACAACATCGTACTTGTGTTTTCAGTATCGAATCGGGGCTCAAATATGGCGGTATCGAATCGGAGCGTTATCACGAGGTATCGAATCGGTTCTTTATCAGACGGTAACATTAAGCATCAAGGTTAAGTTTGTAGCCAGTATAATTGTAGGCAAGGGGACGGCGTGATGGTGTGGTTGATGGCTTGACTGCTAAACCGAAAGTCACGAGTTCGTATCTCGGACTCGAGTCCGTCCACACTATCCCTTCATCGATGAGGCCACACCCGGTACAGTACGAGCAGCAGAAGTGAGCACGCAACATCCTCCACCCTGCGACCTCCCCTATCCCCGGGCAAAAAGCTGTCAACAAAGACATTTTTTGGTCTTTTTTTTTAAACGAGTAATTTTGTTAGATAAATTGTGTACTTTTAAAAGTTCACTTCCGGTACAGAATAAATGAGACCCTGGGGGTAACATCAATTTTTTTTTTAAAGTCTTAAAATCATGAAAAAAAAATAATTGTTTAAACGAAAGAGGGAAAGAATGACTTGAAGGAAACAAGGCTTCCGACGCATGAAAAAGAGTGACTTAGGTGGGGAAAAAAACCAAGGCCTTGGACGCATGAAGGAAAGGATGTCGAAGATGAAGAGAATAAGGCTTCCGACGCATACATTAGAAAAGGCCTTAAACAGACGTCACCAAGCAGACGATTAAACCGTGAATCAATCTCAAATCCGAGTGAATAGCCTTGAACCGTGGCACGCGCCGGCGCCTAATTATCGCCGAGGCCTTTATTGGCAAGTGAGCGGATGCCATTAAAGCTATTGTACTGCTCACACACGCGTACACGTGCACACACACGCACACACACACATTATGGGCAGATCTTTAATAACATGAAGAAAAAAAAACAACCACAAACCAAATCTATAAATTCGATCAACAGTTATAAAAACTTTTTTTTAACTGTATAAGAAAATGAATGAATTTATTCAAGATTTTTTTTTATCACAAAAATAAATTCTGATGAGATTAAGTTTTTATGTAGTTGAATACATATATAATTTATATTGGCAATATCCTTAATCTGGGTCAGCGACGTGAGTTAAATGGGTTAGCGGCTTTTTTTAAAAAAGTTGTTCTCATTATGTTTGAGTTAGGATTTTTTTTAATAGGTTAAAACAAATAAGATATTGACCGTCATTTTTGAAAGGGTAACTCCTTTTTTTGAAAATAACATTTGGTCCTAAATATATCACATGCACACACAGACCAGTAATAAATCTTGTATTCGTAGGCTTTAACTAAACTACGAAATGCTTCTATAAAAACTGTAAAAGTTGGGTTTTATTTTTATTTTTTGGTGAGTAGGACTCAGCGAGATTTTATACTTAAGAAATATATCAACGGCTTCTCTACTATATCTTAATTTAGAACCCTGCTTTAAAAAACCCACTTGTATTATATCTTCAGTTCTGCACACAGAGTATTATAACTGGTGTATTACAATATATTCCCTCCTCTTTTCACCCCGTGTAGACCTACGCCGTAAAAACAAATACCCCCCGTAATTCACACGCTCCGCTCAAGTAGAAAAAAAAAACAACACACAGACCCAACTACAAACGTATTTAGCAAATACAGCACGGTCATCAACCGGCACTCCGGAAGCGCCCGGCAGAAAAAAACCGGTGATTCCCAACAGCTCCTCAGGGTCCCATTCAGTGTCCCACGTAATGTCTCTGTTATCGTTAATCTCCCGTCTCGCCATCATTTCATCATGCCCCCACCCCTAAAATAACAATGGTACACTCCAATATCATGCTGTTAACCCTTTAATAATAGACTCGACCATACCCGCGACCACGGAAATTTAGCTTTAAGGGTAGATGTAAAAAAAAAATCGGGAATTCCCGACCAAGAATGTTTTTATCACTTCGCTTGATTTTTATAAAAATATTTTTTAGTAATATTGATCTAAAATTTTTTTTAGGAATATCGACCCGGAAACCGTTAATGCTGCGGCCATTCCGACGCCGTAATGTGGCCGTCTGCTAATACCAAATATCAATAATAAAGACATAAATGGTCATTTCACGTTCGTCTAAAGATGGGCGAGGGGGACGGGGTGGGAGATAGAAAAAAAGAAACCCTCACAACAATCAATACACGGGAAGATATTTTCTCCCCGTCAACAGAAATGTGTCGTCATGTTTCATCTAGTTAGCTAAATCAACAAAATGGAATTCCAA